CCCTACAATGATGTTAGATTTTGAAAAATAAATCTTTCTTTTTTAAAAATCTTTAATAAAGAAGTTAAAAATAACTTACACAGAAAATTCTCATTTATATATAAATACACAAAAATAGAATAATTAGAAAAATCAAAGTTATAAACTATTCTCTTTGTCAAAAATTTTCTTTAAGCTAAATAAAAATTAAAGATAACGAAAGATACTTTAAATATACTTAGGGTAAATTACAAAAGATTTAAGTTGAAGATTGATTCCTCTCACTCCGTGTTTTTTACAACTTTCTAATTTTTACAATCTTTTTACTTTTTGAACTTTCTTTTAACTCTAAAAATTTTGCTTCTTGTTGAGAAATTACTTCCTATTTATAGAAGAAATATAAATCTAGGTTACTGGAAAAGTAATTCTAGTAAGATTAAATCTAGTTATAAGAAAGTAATTATTGTAAACTAACTCTAGTTTTATTTACCAAGTTAACCATAATCAACCATTCTTATCTTTTTGGAAAGATAAAAAGTGACCGATCTTTAAAAAACATTGCTATTAGAATGGATTCTTATTTTGGTTAAGCACACTGATCGAAAAAGCTAAGATTTTGACAGAACAATGATATACTATTTTTTCCAACTTATTTCGATCAATGACTAATTGAAATAAACTATATAGAACTCATCAAAAAAATTAAAGCCCCCTCTTTGCACTTAAGCTGTAGGTTGCTCTATTTCCTATTTTCTACCTTCTTTATTTCTTACTTTGTCTATTTTTAACTTTTTGTCATAAAATTTGTAATAAATGCAATAAAAATTTGATTAATTAAGCCATTTCCAAATATATATTAAAACATTAAAATTTTAAATAAGTTTACTTTGAAACACATAAATATAAAAGTTGATCTTAAATCATAATTAAAGTATTATGTTCTAGAATAATAACGAAGTATTGTGTCAGTATATAGCTAGTCGTGTCCATGCATAATACTAATTAAAAGATGTTTTCATACACCAATCCACTTAGAGCAAAACCAATTATGATCCCCCACTTGTCCTAGCCCCTCCTCCTTGCATCATAAAAAATATCCTCTCCCTCCTATCTACCTTCTCTTGTAATGTCTATTGATTCTTTTGTAGTTCTGTTATAGTTTGTTGCAATTGTACAACACATTGAGATGACTGAATAAAACTAGTAGGTATGGTATGTGGAGGATGTTTATGGTGTGAGACTTCTTGCTCAACAAGATCCATGTAAATGGGCACTTTATAAAGTCACCCATCCTTGGAAGGTCCACCTAAAACTTGCAACAAAAGTTGGGCATAAGCTATTTTTGGCTATGTAGCCCCACATTTTTGACTGGCTTCTATAATTAATCATTCTTGTAATAAATTATACAATATAGTTATTATATCATTTAATTTTTTCATAATATATAAATCTAAAAATGTTTTCTGAATTTATTTATTTTAAAAACTAGGCTTTCCCTTTATAAACAAAGTATAAAAATATTATATACTCAACCATACACATGCAACCATGATACTAAATTTAATTATAACTATCATAATAAAATTACTTAAAATTTCCAATTCATTATAAATTTATAAAAAATTCAAAAGAGTTTTCCCTAAAAAATGAACTTTTTCCCGGTAAACAAAGTATAAAAACATTATATACTCAACAATATACTTGCAACCATGATATTCAATATAATTATAACCACCAAAATAAAATTATTTAAATTTTCACAATTCATTATAAATTTATAAAAAATTTGATAAAGTTTCCCTCAAAAAATGAATTTTCCCCTTGTAAACAAAGTAAAAAACATTATATACTCAACCATATACTTACAACTATGATATTCAATATAATTATAACTACCAAAATAAAATTACTTAAATTTTCACAATTCATTATACATTTATAAAAAATTTGGTAGAGTTTCCCTTAAAAAATGAACTTTGCCCTTGTAAACAAAGTATAAAAACAGTATATATTCAATTATATATTTGCAACCATAATATTCAATACAATTATAACTGTGAAAATAAAATTACCTAAATTCTCACAATTCATAATGAATTTATAAAAAATTTGACAAAGTTTTTCTTAAAAAATGAACTTCCCCCGATTAATAAAGTATAAATATATTATATACTTAATCATATACTTATGACCAAGATATTCAATATAATTAAAATGCAATTTTATTTCACTTAAATGAATAAATTGAGGAGAATTTGAAAGATATAATCTGATTATTAGTGAAGACATAATTATATATCAATTAAATGAACCTCTTAAGAAATAATAGTGATAAAGAAATAATATTTACAGTTCTAAGCTTGCTCATCAATAAATGTTGGCATTTTATCTTTGTCCTTTGGATGGTGTATTTTTTTTGCAATGATCACATCAACGAATGATAGATTTCTATGTTGAGGATTTTTTTTCTTTCTGTCATATCACATATTCAAATATTTTGTTAATTCACACAAACATTATAATTATAATTAATATTAAGAATAGTATATAAATTATAATATAAAATCTAAAACATAAAGGTAACAATTTTTTTTACCAAAATTTGCACAAAGTTATTGTGATCTATAGATGCACCTGTGTGGGTTACCTTGGGGCCTTTTGCTCGATTTAACTTTACTTGCTCTTTGCGTGCATTGAATTGTAGGTCTTCTATCCATATATACTTTAACTTCTCCCAAACCTTATCAGACATGTATGGCTTTTTTTATATAAAATTCTTTTTCTTATATGAGGCCTGGATATCAGTCATCATGCAGTTGTATCATTTTTCACAAATGTTAAGAAAGGCTACGTATACAACACCTTCCTCAGTAGGGTCTCACTTGTATTTATTTTAAAAAATATATATAGGTATCATGTATTCATTTATTAATTAATTCTTATAAAAAATGCATATATAAAAATAAATCCATGACATTATAAATTATTCAATAAAACTACGAACCCAAGAAGCCTGTTAGTACACTTGTGCTCCAATGTAATTGAGCCCCACTTTCTATATGCGTTACACATATTTGACTTAAGGATAATAGAAATATCCTTTTGAACTTATTTCGGTAATGTCTTCCCATCCTAGTTCCCAATACTTAGCTGTTTGGAGAGATCTTCTAGCAATTTTTGACCTTTTGCAAAACCTCTCCCCTTTTTAGGTTGGGGAGGTGAGGGTGCCCTAGTTCTGATGTCATTGTCATGAGTATATGTCTCCCTCTGAGTCTCATTGACTGTGGTACTAAATGACCCAATGGCCCGTGATTGATTTTTCTTGATAAGCCTTTAGGGAGCAACATTATTCACCATATCACCCTTGCAAGCTCTAAGTAAGTAATTCAGCATAAAAAAAAAAAAGAAAAGAAATAATACTATATTAGTGTATGATTGAAAAAAAAATGCATTAGTTTAGATTTAAAAAAAATAAATCTAATATAAAATTTAAAGATAATATTTATACATATAAATAAATATCACATTAAGTTCCTTTTTATATTAAGCTACTTATATCTCACCCAATGTGTTAGAACATACCACATATATACACTACTAAATAATAGCAAAGCCTATATATGTTACTAATTAATAAATCACTATTATCACTCTAAAAAATGTATTCAATATTTTCTTCCTTAAATGTATAATACTCTTCAAATTCTTCCTCCTCATCCTTTTCCTCAAATTCTTTGTCATCATGTTCATGCTTAACGTCTACATTAATACCAACTATAGTCTCATTAATATGTTGAATAGGTTTACATAATATGAGATTTAACTGAGTCAGTTGGAGAGCTAGAGAGTCATCATCCTAAAAAATGGGTTTTAGATCATCATGTTGTTCCTTTTGCTCATTTGGCATCTCAATAATTCTTCTTACCTTGCATTTCAATACAGCAACCTACCTTTCCTAACAGAATTATGTGATGGATGTGTAGTGTAATACACTTGTTTAGTTTGACTTATCAATATGAAAGGCTCATAAGTTCTCAATTTTTTATTTGGATTAATATTAACAAGACAATATTTTTGATCAAATTCAATTCCTCGCATAGGAGGAATTCAATATCAATCACATTTAAATGGAATAACTGTCTGTCAATGTTGGAGCCAACATATTGAAGCTCAATTACTTCATGCAACAACTCATGAAAATCCAAATATGATTCTGTTTACGTGGTTCCCTTGACACATAGACCATTATTCATCATTTTTTTGATTTTTTAATATAATGCAATGTGAAATCAAAATCTATTTACCTAATAGCTTTTATAACATAAAACCATCTAAGAAGTGTCACAAGCCAAACCAATCAAATGCTCATCAATGCCCTCAAACTCATTACGTAAAATCTTTATCACATAAGATTTTGTTTATTAGTTATAACTTTATGATAATTAATTAACAATAATTAAAGTTTAAGATTGTACTTTCCGATTTTTCAAACTATAACACAAGATAATTGGAACATTTCATCTATATTTGTTGGGGAGTCATATTTTGACATTCTTCTTCTTCAAAAACCATAATCAAGCATCCATTATAATCATGTATAAATTTAAATAGTTCATTGAATTTTTGAAATGTAATTAAGTGTAAGGATTAGGGAAATCTATTTACTCAATTCATCCTTTCAATTCCTCATAAGTTATTAAAACATAATACATTGCAACATTACGCTCCTTTGTTGTCAATACTTATTGCTGTTATAAAGAACTAACTGATTTTTCAGGATTATCGAATATTGAAAGGTCAATATTAACAAAAGGGGCTAAGCCAACAAGATTCCTGGGGATAAAATCACATTTTCTCTCAACTTCTCCTTCATAATAAAACAAGATGAAGTATGACATCTCACTCATTATGTAAGTCTCGCATATTGATCATTTTGGTTGTGCTTTATTTTTCATCAAACCCTTTAATCCATGCATTCTTCTAGTTCATGAAAATATTATTAAATAATTAATAAATTCAAAAGAAAATTATGTTTTATATTATATATATTAAAAAAATTAGGTATTCTAATGATACCGCTTTAATGGATACATCAAATGGAATTACATTGGTCCCTTACCTTGGCTTCATATAGTAGGTGGATTGCTATATACTCCATCAAATCAAAAAAATGAGGGAAGATTCAAGTTGGCATATTGTTTCTACAATCTTCACATGCTAAATTTCCATATTTGTAATAGGAATGGTTGTAATAGGAATGGCTGGAGAACATAAGGCTCTGAAAATCTCATTGATCTTTGTAAGTGCTTCCCAAACTTGTTTTGGGTGAAAATCATGAAATGCAATTGGAATGAAACTTTGCATGCATATGTAACAATCATGACTCTTCATCTTGCTAACTTTCGCCTATTGCATATTAACACATCGAGAGATATTGGATGTAAAACTATCAAGAAATCTAAGATTTTTTAGTCATTGGCACATCGATTTTCTTTGCTCCTTATTTAAGACATAAGTTCCTTCAGTGTTCTATTGGCATTAGAGCTTTTTTCTAGTATACAAAGACTTGGTCAATTGTAATACAATTCTTTATCTATCCTTGCCTTCAAGTTGTCCTTCGTTAATGTGTCATCCATATTTATGTAAAAGATATTATTAAAAAAGTTTTTCTCATTGTACATGACATCTAAGTTATGACAAATTAAATTTGTGTTTCAATAATAAAGCTCCCAAAAAATACTCCTTTTGACCCAGCTATGACAATCACCAAATCCTTTGATCACCTACCTTATGATGGCTTTTCAAATTATTTATTAGGATATTGCTAAATTCGTTGAAACATATCATTACCCAAAAATCTCTCTGGTGAAGCAAGAGTCTGTACATGCACTTTTTTTAAAGTCATTTCTATTTGTCCTGAATTGATGATTAGGGGGTAACAATCAAAAAAATGATATCATTTGACCATTTGAGATGAGAGAATGCCTAAGAGTTTTCCTGAAAGTATGGACATGACAATCTATCATGTGTGCTCCATCTAGACAACATGTCATATCCAGGAAAGTCACTAATTATCCATATAAGTGTTGCCCTCATAATGAAATGTTGATGCCTAAAGCTATCACATGTCTTGAGTTCATTATTCCAACGTTCCTTCAATTCATCAATGAGTGGGCATAACATGGTATCAATGTTTCTTCCTAAATTATGAGGGCCTTATATTACTAGAGAAAGAAAGATGGACTCTAGTTTCATACACATTGAGGGAGGTAGGTTATAAATAGTAAAAAATACAAGCTAACATGAGTAAGGGGCTGTTGTATGTCCAAAATGGAGTGAATCCATTTGTTGATATCCAAGCCTTACATTCCTCGGATCTAACCCAAAGTCAAGATAGGTGTGATCAAAGTGTTTCCATGTCTCAACACTAGCAAGGTGCACCATTTTTTCATATTCACCACCATAAGTAAGGTGCCATGTCGTGTACTTGACAGTTTTTCTACACATGTACAACCATGTCAATTTGGGTGTAATTGGAACGTATTACAATGACTTGCTTAGTATATGTTGATTTTGTTACACATATCCCTACTTATAACAAGATTCACCACATATTGGACATGTCATGTAGTTTTTGTTTTCATATTCATCGTAATACAAGAAGCAATTATTTACACAAACATCATAATTTTTATAACCTAGACTAAAGTGCCTTATCATTTTTTTCGTATTGTAAAAATCTTTTGGAATCCTATTTCGATCTTTTGGTTTAATCCATCTCTTACTGCACTTTAACATACAGTTCCAATTAGCTCCACTCATATTAGAAAGTGTCCTTACATTCATAAAATGAGATATCTATTTGAGTATTGTATCATGCTTATCACATTCATCATAAAGTGACATGTTAGCAACTTGCAAAAGATCAAAAAATTCCTTTACATCTCTCATTGCCTCAAAGATTGGCTCTTCACTAGTTTGTTCATTCATATTATATTCTGTATCATGTGAACTCATTACATCCATCCATAACCATCTCTTTAATCTAATCATTACTTAGTTCTTCCATGATAAAGGGAGTTGCACTTAAGGATTCCCCCCATTGATGACGTTATTGGTTTTACGCTGATTACTCTCCATGTGTATGCTAGACTAGATACCCATTTATAAAACTTTTTTTTATCAAATAGCATTGAACTATGGTTCATACATTGCCTAAAAAGACACCTAATGTGATTTCTACTACAAAATTCTGAATTAGATTGGGAAAATATATAATCCAGAAAAAACTCACGATAATTTTGAATTCATCAATAAAACAACCACTATTATCCACACATTGATATGTCCAACATTGATCTCCCAGCATATATAATATTTCTTTCAATTTTTATTAAAAATATTCATATCCCCACACAAATAATACATCACATTTGATATTTTAGTAAACATATTTTATAAACTAAAATTAAAAATTAATATAATCAGTATAATCATAATTTATCAATCAGTTAATCAATATAATAATAATTAATCAATAATTAATTAATATAATCATAATTTACAAATTAATTAATTAATATAATCATCATTTATCAATCAATTAAACTATCTAATCATAATTTATCAATAGTTAAATTCCCCTTTTGGTCCCTCTATTATTGAAAAAAGCCATTTTTGGTCCCTATACTGAAAAAACCCCCTTTTTAGTCCTTAAAGTTTTAAATTTGGTCCCTTTTTGGTCCGTCTATTAAATTTTTATTGACTTGTCACTTTAATTAATAGAATCAATTGATTATTTTTTATATAAATGATATTATAAATGATGTGGAAATCATATGGATAATATTATAAATCCATGTAAGCATTTCATCTAAATATTTTGAACCACATGTACAAATTAAAGATTTTACTTCTTAATTTATTAAAAAATGAGTTTAAACATAATTAAATTTAATTTCTTCATCTTCTTCTTTCTCCTTACCCTCATCCTCAACCTCATCACGTCACCGTTTATCTTCGCCATCCTTTTCATCATCTTCACCATCCTCTTCCTATTCATCATCCTAGGTTCCTCAAAAAAATCCAGATGCGATGAAGAACCCAAAATGCTAGGTTCCCTGAGGAACCCAAGTTTTGGATTTATTATGAAACTCAAATCATATTTGATATTTGGGTTTGAAACTTCAAGTGACAGATTTATGTTGTTGTGTTCATGTTGCTATGAACTTTATAATTCGATTCATCCATAACCTAGATTCAACATGAAGAAATGGTAAAGAATATGAAATTAGTAATTAATTTTTATTTTTTTCAATGACCTATAAATTCTCAATTATATCTTGATTAATCTCACATGTAAAGAATTAATTATGAATGAAGAATTTCGAAAGAAGGAAGATGAATTGTAGAGAGGGAATTGAAAAAAAAAAAAAAAGAGAGAGGAGAATTTAGGGTTTCTTTTTCACACGGGAAGAGTGACATGGAAGGGTGGTATTAAATCCACGTAAGCACCTTTACAATGTGGAATATACATGTCAGATTTTCCCATTAATATAACATGCTATGCAAGCAAAAATTAAAAGAGGAACTAAAATAGGGTTGGATTTTAAACTTTAAGGACCAAAAAGGAGATTTTTTTAATATAAGGATCCAAAAGGGGTTTTTTCAATAATAGAGGGATCAAAAAGGGTATTTAACTTTTACAATTAATTAATCAAAACAATCATAATTTACAAAGCAATTAAATAATATAATTATAATTTACCAATCAATCAATTAATCAATATAATCATAATTTACCAATCAATAATTAATATTATAATTTTTTCCTAAACTAAATTTCAAAATACAAATTTAGTTAAAAATTAGACCATATTTATAAAAATGGAGACTCGCCATTTAGGTAAATCAAAGTAAAATTAAAATTTTGAATATGATGGATGGATCTACAAAAAAATGATAAAAAGGTTAATGAATTGAGAAAGGTAAAAAACATATAAATAAAAAATAAAATAGAACAATCAACAAATTCACATAAAAAGTAATATTTTTAAATAAATATTAAGTATATAAATAAAAAATAAAAATAGCAAAGAAAAATTAAATACATACTAATTAGTCAAATAGAACAATAGATCAGGACACAAAGAGGATGGAGACAACTGATGGTAGAAGTTGACGGTTTTTGAAAGTGAATTACTCTACAAAATGAAGAAAACTAGTGAGGAAAAGGAAGGAAAGAAGGAAAAAAAACACCAAATCCTACCTAACCATACCTTAATTGGGTTAGAACACTTATAAAATACCCTTCAATAGTTGCATGAATCAACAACAAGGCTTAGTAATGGGTGGGTAAGGCGAAGGAAAACTGAAGGAAAACTAAGAACAATTTTTTATGAGGAAGGAGAAGAGGTGCTACATGAAGGGGGATAAAGGGGCATTTCAATCAAGAGGCTTGAACGAATTAAGAGAAAAAATGGTGGGACCTATAATTGCATCTATCAATCAGCTATAGGACACTCATTTCAGATTATATCATTGATCGGAATTAGTGAAAAGTTGGATTACACTTTATTTCGATTGAGGAAACTGACGAAACAAAGAAGAAAAGGCTAAACCATGTATCAACTTCCATCAAATCAATTGTAGGTGGTTTTTTGTTCAAGACCCTCGATGGAAATGTGATTGGAAAATATGGTTGGCAGCCATCAAATCGGTTCAAAGCATTATTTCGGTCAAATTGATTGATCAAAATAAGAAAAAAAGTTGCAACAAAAAATACTTGACCAAATCGAGTCAAGTTACTATTTTAGTTAGAATACTTGACAAAACTATATCTATTTTATTGGTAAAAATTGGCTAGATTTTTTGGGTATTTTGTTCGGTCAAGCTACTTGATCGAATGGGGATCATCACTTTTTTAGTTAATATACTTGACCAAATGAGTCATGGCGCCAATTCCTACCCTTAAACATTGATGTAAATGCTTGACCAAATTAGTTTTTAATTGAATTAATCGTTAACCATGATTTTATAAAGAACAAATTTATATTCGATCAGTAAATTTGTTTGAAATAGTTCTTTTTTTTTTAAATCAAGATATATGCTTGACTGAAATACTCTATTCGAAATAGAAAGTTTTCTAGTGTATGTTGCATGAATCACTTTCGAGTGAGGCATGCCTTGTTCCTTTGTTCAACTCAATTATCATCCCTCCATATGATTTTCAAGATCTTCCCACCAATAGAATCAAGATCATTGAAGAAATCTACCTTGTAATTTGGATGGTCATCGGGAAAGTCGCCACCCATGTGACTCCGATTGTATGATCTTCATAAACAGTGTTCATTTGTGATACTTAAGCACTTGAGATTTCAACTTCAAGGATATGAGATTTTGATGCTTCTGTACTAATCAGTCCTAAAATTTCTTTTGTTTCTCCATTTTTAAAGGTGATTGAACACAATATGCTAAGCAAAAATTTTGGATCTTTGGTACTTGTTCGAACATTAGCTAACAAAGTAGAAATTTACTCTTCTTTATTAGCGTCTATTTTTTTTAGAGGAATTTTTGCTAATTGATTTTCCAACCCTTTTATCTTTCGTTGGAGAAATTCTATTTGTTCTTCCAATAGCAAGATGTACTCCTTTTTTTTTTTTTTTTTTTTTTTTTTTTTTTTTTTTATGTAAGGATGTTAACATTAAGTAAAAAAAGTTGAAAGTTTGAATCCTTAAATAGAAAAACGTATAAAGTTGATATCCTTATTTGCATCTTTTCACTCTGGTTTGATATTGGAGTTCACTTGAAGTTGAACTTCATCTAATGTTAAACTAAATGTCATAGTGATATCGTTCTTATAATGTGTACATAATATTAATTTCTTGGTTTCAAAATAGAATCAAAGAGCATATGGAGAATTTACGCTAGGAGCTAATATTGATATGCGTATGCAGGGGCTTGCTGGCAAGTAAAATGTATAAGACTGCAAAAGCAATTGTGACAAATCTTGTTTCCTTTATAGATGCATATGGTTATGTACTTAATGGTGCAAGAGCCTATTACACTAATCGGAGGTAATGCTTTCTTCCTTCCTCAGATGCTTTATTAGGTTGTGTTGCTAATTGCATACTTTAATTGAAACAGTCTAACTTGTCCAGCTTGAATTGATAATGGCGGTATTTGCTCTATTCATCATTGAACATTTGAGACACATTTTTTTTTTTTTTAATAAATCATCCCTAAAAATGCTTTGCTGCCTTAAACTTTTGCTTTCCAGTGTTGCTTGCCTCTAAGCCGCTATTGAATTTCCTCATAAAGACAGACGTTTATGACTGTAAATTTTGATTTCCTCTATCTATCAACACCTTTCCAAACATAGGTTACAAAATTATTTTGCATTCTCACTCCAATATTGTGCAGGTGTCAAAAAGTAGACTGTTTCTCCCAACTTTTTGTATTAAATATGAACCAACTTGCTTCTAATTGAAGGGGACTATGTAACAAATGGATATACTTTCTATTAGCTCTGCCCTTTCACTTTCCAGATGCAACTGGTGCAGTGTTGTGAAGATACTGTGAAATACCAGTTATGTTTCAACAATGTGCCTTCATTTAGCTCAGTGAATTTATAATCCTGCTTTGTGAGGATAGTCTTCTTGAAAGTTTATGATAATATGTTTTGCAGATATCACGTTATCTCAATATTTTGAACCTGAATAGTGTTCTTTTTTGTCTGAGTTGTTTACATAACATGTGAACCTATAAGCTTTCAAGAACTTTCTTGCAGCCAGCCTCCCCTCCTGAGTGCAATGGTTTTTGAAATATACAACCAAACAGGGGATGTTGAACTGATCAAAACATGTCTTTCTGCATTGCTTAAAGAATATAAATTTTGGAATTCAGGTGCAATGAAAACTTTAAACTTACATGAATACTTTCCTGACTGTTCTAACTTAAACAGAACAATCTAGTTTTGACTTCTTCTTGAGTAAACTTTCTCTGGGCTTGAGCTTTTTTTTACGTCATAAAATCTAGGAATACATGAGGTGTCCATCCATGATGCTCAACAAAACAAATACAGTTTGAGTCGGTATTATGCAATGTGGAACAAACCCAGGCCTGAATCTTCGACCATTGTATGTTCTTCTCTTCTTATGTTAGCAAAATTTCCATGTTTTAACCAGTTATGTTGTGTGATCTGCATTTTAAACTTTGTTTTATTCTTTGTACTACCAGGACAAACAATCTTCTTCCAAGTTCTTGAATGCTTCTGAGAAACAGCAATTTTACCGTGAGTTGGCTTCAGCTGCTGAATCTGGATGGGATTTCGGCACAAGGTGGATGAGGTAATACTTTTCAAGGGTTACTTATCTGCCTAAGCAATCTCTTTATTTTAGTCTCCTTGTGACTACCCTTTTCATATGGCTCTGGGTACTGATAATTCACTTTAAGAACCCTTATTACTGCAACATTTGTGAAATTAGTTTTTAATTGGTAAAAGACAATAATCTTGGTAAGTTTGCCTAATCTGTACTGTCATTGGTCTGTCTTTTAAGAATGATCAAGGAAATTAATAATGCTTGTTAGGAACCTGCAAGCAAAGATTCCAGTTATTGGTAGTTTTCTCTTTCAAAATGACAAAAAGATCAAATTAGCTTGCTGATTCATCTCTAAGCTAGGTCCATTAGCAGATAGACAAAATATATTTTCTTATGTGATTCAGTTATCAGAAATAAGTAATATTTTCTTCAACTGCCCAACGTTTTTTGAGCTTAGGGCTGATTCAAATTTAGTTAGAATGTTTACAAATTAAATGATGAAATTTATGGTTAGTTTTCTTGTCTGCAGGGATACTTCTGAATTTACAACATTGGCCACAACTTCAGTTTTACCTGTTGATTTAAATGTATTCATACTCAAGGTATGTTAGATATTGGTCCCAAGATCAGTTGTTCATGGACTTACCTTGACAATCAATATTGCATATGTCAATCCAGATGGAGCTTGACATTTCCTTCTTGGCAAGAGAAATTGGAGCGGATGGTATTGCTGAGAATTTCTTAAAAGCATCTCAAGCTAGACAAAGGGCAATAAACTCTGTTTTTTGGAATGAAAAGATGGGACAATGGCTAGATTATTGGCTCAGTAATGGCACCACTTGCAAGGTGGTGAGTCTATTGTCCCGTTCAAGAGTTTGAATACTGGGAGATATCTATGTTTATCGATTTCCTTATTTTTTTTTTTTTCATTGGTGCTTTTAGGAATCTCAGACTTGGGAAGCTCAAAATCAGAATCAGAATGTATTTGCTTCAAACTTTGTCCCTTTGTGGATTGATTTGTTCAATTCAGGTCTGTAGCTCTTGAAGCCTGAAATATCTCCACTTTGAACCTTGGTGTAGTGTTGGTCAAAAAAGCGAAAAAAAACCTTGGTATAGTAAACCTTTAAACACAATGACCAGCTGTCTAAACTAAACACAACTTAATCAGGTTTAGTTTTATCCTATAGTTGAACCTTTTTAATGTAGACTAGAAGCCAAACTGAACTTAGTGATCCTAATTTAAGCCTAGCATATGTTCATAAGATTTTGGTCTTGTTTCCAAAGGTAGTTTCCATTTCATGTTCTCCAATTAGGATTATGGCCTATCTGGGGGGTTGGTAAAAATGAGAAATTCCCTAAAGAATTTCCTCCAAACTCAAAGAACTAGTAACACATTGGATTTAGGTCCTATTTCCATTATCAGGAGTCGTAGATATTCCCTAGGCCTGGGTCCTCTTGCAAGTGTCCCAGAAAAAAGGTGAGCATTGCTTGGTTGTACCGTTCTTACCCTTTCTCTTTCAATATATCATTCACAAACTATCCAATTAATAACAGAAGGAAAACAGAATTTCAGAGATTTCTTAAGTTGGAAAATGAGCAAATGTAATTTTCTATTTTCGGAAGACCAATCCAAAAAGATAGTACAACCAAGTACAGAAAGGCTGCTATTGCCTTTAAAACAGGATGATGGTGATCTTAGACAGTATGGATGCCTATTGAAACTTATCACAGATATTCTGTCTCTTTTATTATTTATTTACTTGTTTCTATAAATGAAATGGTTTTTCCTCCATCATGGGCTGCTATTTTAACAAATTTGTTCTATGCTTTGTAAGTTGATTGCCATTGAGAATTGTTTTTATATGTACATATGTGAAGATACTCCTCTGGTGGAAAAAGTAATGAGAAGTCTCCAAACGTCAGGCCTGGTCTGTGCTGCCGGAATAGCAACTTCTTTGACAAACTCAGGACAACAATGGTCAGTGAAGTGTTTAAAACTCATATTTAAAGGATTTTTCTTCTGTAGAAAATTTTGAGATTTATAGCATTGGTGGAATAGTTTTCCTTCCTCCTATTTCCCTTTTTCTATTCTTTTGTGGACAAGCAGTTGAGGCAGTGTTACTTGGATTGTTTATTATCCTCCCTTTTAACTGATTGCTTATTTTGAATTTGTAAAAACAGGGACTTCCCAAATGGTTGGGCTCCACTTCAACACATGATAGTTGAAGGTTTGGCCAGATCTAAATTAATAGAAGCTAGATCAATGGCAAAAGAGATTGCTGAGAGGTGGATCAGAACCAACTATGTTGCCTACAAGAAGACAGGTGCAATGCATGAGAAATATGATGTTGAAAAATGTGGTGAATCTGGAGGTGGTGGTGAATATGTGGTCCAGGTAGGAACTGCATTTCATTGGTTATTCTATTGGATTGATTGAGCACATCCTTTCAAATAATGAACCTAAGACGTAAATGGGAAATATATCTAACAAGCTTTAAAGAGTTGAAATAGATTATGAAAAATTTCCGTAGTATTTTGCAGATTTCAGTGGTGTTATCAACTCTACACTGTAAATGGCATGTTGTTTTGCCCCTACTGATTGAAATTTGGTTTTTGGTATGTTGCAATGCAGACTGGATTTGGTTGGTCTAATGGAGTTGTATTGGCATTCTTGGAAGAGTTTGGATGGCCCCGAGACCAAAGTATAGATTGCATTAGCTAATTAGACTCTGCTGATTATAAATTTTAATAACAAAACCGTTCAAATAATTACTACTTATGGGTTTTGTTGCCTTCCAGGGCCTATTTTCTCTATAAACTAAATACAGCATTTGTTTTTTTTCCCTCCCCTTTTTCTCAGGATAATTACCTGTAAGTTGACGGGTTGACGTATTTTCTTTTCTTTTTCTTTTCAGTAGTTTTATTTTCTTAATGTTTGTTTTTAATCGTTTTGATTTTAAACTCCAGTAATCTTAA